GAGAGAGAGAACGGGGGAGAGATTTACTTGTTAACGGCATGTATATTGATGTAATAATGACTTTCAAATAGCCAATAATGACATGGATAATCTATTTATGTGAACATAATTAGTATAAACATATAGCTTAAGAGATCCAATTTCCCAAAGGATTCAAAAAGTTACTTAAACTCATTAACTGGACCAATTCCTAAACATATTCATTAAATATTCTTTGTCAACAGTTTATTTAGAAGAATAAGAAATGAACATTTCGGTTAATGTAAAGAAATATAAGACATTTCGCTTCCTTTTCGGGATTACTTGAAGCTTACATCTACCATCTTTCAAACAAACTAATTTATGATATTGAAACATGCTCATATGCAAATGAGCATCATGCAATAGCGACGTGAGCTATCCACGTTGCATACATGGATATATCATTTTGATATCTGCATTAAAGTAAACCGGTTGAATATGTTATGAGAGATTGAAGAATCGGAAAACTACCTCTTTATTTCATAATACTACTTTCAGTTTTGGAGCATTTTGCTGCCAGACCTATGCGAACAGTTGAAGCTGTAGAAGGAGATGCAGTAACGCTGGCATGCAGTGGCCCACGTGGTAACCCAGAACCAACTATCTTTTGGTTATATCGGTATGTTTTATGAATTCATGTCATCATCTTCTGTGGTAGACGATTGACCGATCCTTTCTTGCTTTAGGGATACCGAACAAGAATCTGTTATTGAAACCATTAGAAAGCGGCATATAACAGCGGATGACCAGGGTCAACTTCACTTCTCCTCTGTAGAACCTAGTGATGGTCGCAGTGTAAGTTCTTTCAACTGTTTGTTTTATGCTTCGAATGTGTTTTTCCAGACTTTGATCTATGAATGTGCCGCCACTTCACCAGTGTTACACGGCGAGTATAGATCTGGCGATCAAATTCAGTTGCATGTCCTGCCAAGAACTTGTAGGTCATGAACAATAGTTATCTTACATTGTCTAATAATTTGCAGCAAAGCAACCGATCCTAATAAGTGCATTATACTTGAGTCCACCAGAAGTGACTGTTAAAGCTGGAGGTCGATTGAAGATTCAATGTATTTTTGGTGGAAGGTACTTGGCTTCGTTTTTTGAGTCTTCATGACATAACGATGATTGTAGACCAGTTCCAACTGTTAATTGGATAAGAATGGACGGAGATCTACCTAAATTCCGAATGAAAAGTATAAACTCTGCGGAAAGTGATTATGGCAAAAGCTTAATAATCGAAAATGTCCATCCTGGGGACGCTGGACGGTATCAATGCTCAGCGGCTCATTTGACTCACACAATCAACGTGAGAGTACTAGGTTAGTCTTTGTTGTCAACAAGATTATAAAGTTTGCTTCTCAATTTAGCTGCTCCTTATTGGGATTTGGAACCACCTCAAGATGTTACGCAATCAGAAGAAAGCACTACCGAATTGGAATGTTTGGCATCAGGACACCCTGAACCTATCATTCGATGGAGTATGAATGGAATACCATTGCATGGTAGCTTAAAAATTGAAACAGAAAGCTAAAAAATTTTCTTCAGAACTCAAGGAAGATTCAAGGAGACTGATTCTTGACAATGGACGTATCTTAAGATTGAAAGAGTTGAATCATGATGTCGATACTGGAGTTTATCAATGTAATGCCAGTAATCCACTTGGATACATCTATGCTAATGCCTATGTTCATGTTCGAGGTGAATCTTGTTATATCTACATATCTTTCAATAATCAATGTAGCACATGCTCCTCGTTTCCTAATGCCTACTCAACGTGTCTGGAAAGTTGTAATTCATTCAACGGTTTCATTGAACTGTGATGTGGATGCAGCTCCAGAAGCTATAGTACGATGGGTGGATACCGATGATAAGCCCTTGTTGATCAGAGATGCAAAAACTCAAGTAAGATTTGAAATATTTATTCTGACATTCTTGTGAGCTTTATTATGAGCTTTTCGTAAAAAGATTTTCCAATCATAAAAAGTATGTGAGGAAGAGCAGTATAGGCACTAGAGCGAACAACATTCTACTTGTTGATTCTGAAAAAACAAATTTGTTTGGGAAATGGTTGGGATCTTCTCACTTCCAATGTTGATGACGGAAAAGAAGTTTGAATGTCTATTCTCAACAACATGATCTGAAATAAGATCAAAAGACAGTTCTAACTGTTTTCCATTGAATGTGAAATGCTCATGTTGAAGGTTCAGCTTCTCGCTGAATCTGAAGTCAGCAATGATTAAATAAAGAAACATGAATGATGTCCGAAAATTACCCTTCAATTCCTACGCCATCGTAACCTCGTTTAAGGAATGTTATTGCTGCATCATCATAAATGCTTCCAGTGAACTGAAGAAAGCAAAAAAACAAATTTAGCTAATGAAGTATAACCTTATCTACCTCAACATCAAATTGCGTGTTGTTGTGTTTTGCTTTGAAAACATATTGAAGGTTGTGATAAGAGATGGTATGTTCCTTCTCCAACTTATAGCCAGACGACATGGCTACTACCGTGTCACCCCAATCCACATCAATTTCAATAACATCATTGCCAATATGATAAAAATCTTTTGATATTACATTCATGGAGATAGATCCAGGTAATGAAGCAGTTTGACGAACTGTCACTACAGGCTCTAACAGAAGAATGCCGCTTCTAACATTCCCAATCATCTTTCTATAAAATGATCTTTTTTCTTAATTTAAAAATAGTCGCAGCAAGTGTTTGCAAGGATTAGTGAAGAAAGGAAATTGAATTTCGTTAATTTTAATGTTCTTCGCGCAGGCCATCTGGATAAGAATCTCTAGAAGAGCTTGTGGCAAAAACAATTTTGAGTCGGAGGCGCAAAGTACTTTTTAGTTTCTTTCGTATTTCCTATTTTGGTTTCGAAAAATAAAATTACCCGAGATCCAATAATTGAAAGTCTTCCATACGAGCTTCCTTGGCACCTCCAGCCGATAGGGTTAACCAAGCCATTTGGAACTGAAGTAAACATACGATGGTTTATGCTTTCACTTTTCAGCCTTACTATGGATGTACCATTAAGACTTGTGATAGTTGTATACTTCTTGGGAGAGAGGATGGTTACATAAGTATCATGAATGGATGTACCATTCAAATCGATTTCTGTGTTTTCCTCGCCTTTCGAAACAACAACATGGTTGTCTAAAAATCACGATGACTAACATGTTGGCTTTAACCCAATGTTTGTGATTCAATGGTTAAGCTCTTACCTGCCCCTTCTTCTACAACGTATATGATGGCTGGTTCATAGAACTCATATTCATTACGTCCTCTTACAGTAAACTTAAAAATGTATTGAAGTCAAAGATACTTTGCGAAGATTTAACCTCATCAACTGGTTCGGGGAACATGGGTTTCAAGGTTCCGTCTGAGTTGATGTTCTTACCAGCTTCATAAGCTCTATAGAAGACGTTGACTAGAACTGTTGTAAAGATACTCACGAAATTCTGGAATTTCCATCCGAAGAAACAAACTGAATTGATTTCTCTCTTTGAGCTTCAGCAAAGTTGGATCCAAGATAAACCTTAAGACATTCGAAGGTTCGATAGTACTCGAAGCTGATCAGCTCACCATGCATTTCTTGTTCAATCTCACATTCTCCGGAATAGTGTTAAGATCATATATTACACTATAGACATTTGAATCGAAAATAGCCATCGATTCATGGAGAAGCAGCAAGCTTATAAGAGCTGATGAGGATAAGAGCTTATATAATGTGATGAAAGGATAACATTACCTCGAAAAATCATTATTGAGTATTGATGAACCAGGCTGATCCTTCAGAGACCTTGTTAAGAGAGACAACTGAGTGATAGAATGAAAACATCTCAAATTTTTGATAAAAGAAAAAGAGCTTGATAAGCATTTGTGAAATGAAAAATAAGCTGAAATAAATATATTTTTGTATTGAAAAATAAGTTTTATTATTATATAGTGATGAGTGTATAATCTGTGTAATGAACTTAACTTTCAGCTACTCGGAAACAATACTTTTGTAATTTATGATGTCAATAAGGATGATGAAGGTTTATACTATTGTAATGTTAGTAATAAGTATGGAATTAATCGATCAACTAATAAATTACAAGTTTATAGTAAGTTATATAGAAATCATATAGTTAGCATAGCTTAATACTTTCAGAACCAACATATTTTGTTAAAATTCCAACTCCAAAACGTTTAACACTAGAAGCTGGACAGACGACAGAACTGTTCTGTCAAGCCATATCTGATCCTCGTCTTTCAATTGATTATAGATGGACTATTAATGGAGAGCGAATTAACAACTCTGAAACATTCCAGTATGAATCTTCATATACAAAATCATATATACAATCTGTTTGTTTGTTTCAGAATTCTCAAAGATCGTCTACGTATCGTAGCTGCTAGAGGTAGACACAGTGGAATCATAGACTGTGCCGCTGTTACAGATGTTGATGTTAAACTGGCATCAATGCAATTGATAGTCAAAGGTTTACTTTTTTAAAGGATTATTTGATTTATGATCATTTTAGACGTTCCCGCTAATCCTGAAGTTGATACTCCTATGTGCTCAGAGAGGAAGGCAATCATCAGGTTCAAAAAATCAAATGATCATGCCGATACAATTCGAAAGTATATTATCGAAGTTATGACTGATTTCCGAAAGGTTTGGAACTCTTCTAAAAGCTAACAACATCTTCATCGTTATCAGGGTTTCTGGGAGCGTGTTGTTGAAGAAACAAACATAAGCAAGCATTTGTATGAAGTCGATGTCACCTTAACTCCTTGGGTAGGTGTAACTGTTTGTTTGTTTTGTTATATTCTTGTTTGAAGGTAAACTATACTTTCCGAGTTGTAGCCGAAAACTCTCATGGACGATCAGATGCCAAAGTTGGCTCTGATGTTGAAGGTTTCGTAATATTTCGTTCTGTGTCGTCATGAGTTAATTGTAGACGTTGCTCAAACTGTTAAATGCAGTACCAGACCTTCATTCCCATATACGAATCCATCAGGTGTCTGGGCTGAGGGTAACGAACCTGATAATTTGATAATTTATTGGAATCCGATGGATAAATATTATTGGAACGCTCCAAATCTCCAGTACCTCATTAGGTTTGCTTACAAATCTGACATGTCGCCTCAAACATCAAATTACAGGTATAAGCTGAATGAACCTCATGCCCCATGGACTGAATTTTTGGTAGAAGATGCCTTAGCTGTAATATCAATAGCCAAACAAGTAGATTGAACTCATTTTTTCAGAACCACACAATCATCAGAGAACAACCAACATTCCGTGAATACTTGGTTCAAGTTCGAGCTGTGAATGCTATAGGCTTGAGTATTGTTGAGCCGGAGTCAGTGAAAGGATACTCAGGAGAAGACAGTATGTTCCGAAGAATGTACTCTTCTAATGATAAATGTTTAGTTCCAACACTAACTCCTAACAACTTGAGAGTTGATCAAGTTCGTAACTTCACATCTGTCTCATTCTCATGGGAGGAAGTAGATCCAAAGAGTGCGAATGGAAAATTCGAAGGCTATGAGGTGAGCATGATAGTATATCATTCTTATCAAATGTTTTTTTCTGTTCAGATAGAATATTGGAAAGATTCAGGAAGAAAGTATAAGATAACTGTACCACCAGGTGTTCATAATAAGGTCATAAAATATAATTTTTCTTATCATTTACGCCTGTTTACTTTTAAGACAATAACCGTCTTTTCTGCAAACTCTAACTATACGGCTGTGATCAGAACGAAAAACAAGCATCATGTCAGTCATGAAAGTAATTCTGTTCGATTTGAAATGCCTGAAGGAAGTAAGATAGAAATATAATTTTCCACATAAAAATAAAATATGTCGTTCAGTTCCTTCCAAAGTTCATGGACTGCGAGTTATATCAGTTGGAGCAAGCTCTCTACTAATTCAATGGGAAAAGCCTCGTGTTCCCAATGGAGTAATTCGCGGATACTTCCTCTCCTTTGAGAATGATAAAAGTATTTTTTAATTTAATTCATCCGCTTACATCATCTTTTATTCTTGTTATAGATGAAACCGAAGAAACTTATGTTGTTCATAAACGAACTTACTATTTGCATGAAAAATGCAGTTCGGATACTCTTTATAAGGTTTGGAAACACTTTCAGAGTTAACTCAATAATCTCTTGTTAACTTTAGGTTGGAGTTTGGGCTGAAACAAGTGCTGGAGAGGGACCAAAGCTCTTAAGGACAGTGAGGACATGGCCAGCAGGATGTAAGACCCCTCTCTCTTGAGCCTCTCAAATATCGTTTTCAGCTCCTGACACACCAGTCTTCGAAGTGTTCAATGTAACCAAGAATTCAATGATTGTTCGATGGATTCCTTCGAACTCTTCAGTTTGGAAAATGCCAGGCTCTTCATTCTCTGTTAATTACTCCGTTGAAGGTTGCTCTTATCAGCTTTTTAAAAAAAACCTAATAATTTTATTTTGAAGGAAGTAATGATTATATAGAATCCCAGCGAGTCTACTTACCTGATACACTAATCGCTCTTGAAAATTTGCAAGAATCAACGAGATATTCTCTGGTTGGTGTAGCCAAAGATGGAAATGAAATGACTAAAACTGATGATCCACTGCCAATAACGACTCTATCAAAGATAAATATGAGTGAAATGCAAAAAGGTATCATAAACATCTCAAATGATCTTTGAAGTGCAACAAAACGTTTTTAGAAAATCTGCGATCAATCGTATGGTTTATAGCCATCCTTATAGTAGTTTGCATAGCTATGATGACGATATTCTTAACATGTTGTTGTGAAGAACGAAAAGGGCGACGATATGGTGTCCACAGAAAGGTAAATTCATTTGTTTTCTTTTAAATAACCGAAGAAACATGATGCTGACAACATCCGTATGCTGGAATGCAACCGCTTCTCACCTTTGTACGTATCAAATGAGAAGTTGAGTTGCATTGCGCTTACACGTGAAATATGACGTTCAAAAGATGTTTTCAATATGCAAATGTATTCCAGGAAAGAGAAATACGTAATCCAGTGGAATCAGAAGAAGAAAGAAAGTTTCTTGAATATCAGTACGGGTACAAAAGTTGAATATTAATGATAATATTCATGTTCAGCTGCATATTACAATCATATAATATGCGATAGTTAACTTTTGATCAATGAAATTATTTGTTTTCCTCGTTTCTCTTTCATGAATCTCACTTATAGGCTTTAATTTTTCATTTTTTTTCTTCTTATGAAAAGATATGAGTTTGTAATTCATTTCATGAAATATGTTATAGGCATTTCAACCTATGAATAAATGTAATTATATGGTTTAATGTATATATTTATATCAAATACCTAATTATATGATAACATTATATATGAGAGGAGGACAGCAGTAGCAAGAATCTACATTTCATTTCAAAAATGCTCCGTCAAGAAGTATGTTGTCTTACCTTATTCATATGTATAGCTATGGGCAAGTTATCATCCTCTTATTACAAATCATTTCTAAACATCTTTCATTTTCAGCATTAGACTGTGTATATCCACCAAGTGTATCTTCACAGTATGATGAAGTTCATTTGACGAAAAAAATAAAATTCTTCAACTCATCATGTACTTCATACACGGGATCACTCATCATTGATCGCCAATCGAACTTCACTCATTCAGAGCTAGTAAAGCTGTTTGCAAATCTTAAAAATTTTTACGGATTACTGATAATTCAAAACGTAGATTATGAAACTATTGGCTTTATTGATAAGCTGGAGTATATTGGAGATGTACAATATCCTACATGTTCGTCATTACAGCTTTCATATCATTATTTGAATATCTTTTGCAGCGATCTTCCTACACATTAGGAACGTCACCAGTTCAAGTCTACTTATATCAAATTTGAAAAACTTAACAGGAGCTCAAATCACTAACAACCCAAACCTTAATCTTTCTGTTCATTGTGATAAATTCAATGATCTATTTTATAATAGGCGAGATATCAACGGCAATTTAGAAAACTGTGGTTGGTTAGAGCTTCTTCAACAATACTTTTTGAGTTGACAGGCTGTTCTATATATACTTCTGTTTTCCTCAGTAGACAAACTATTCATACTATTCCATCGAATTGTACAGTACTGTGGATGGGAGTTTACTTCGAGGAGCAATTAGATGAATATATAGGTTTCAAATGAGTTGATGAGTTTTTGGCTATACGTATGCATTTTAGATATAATTAAAGAAAAGTTTCATTCAGTTGAGCATATATATAATTCTATATTGATTCAAAACACGCGTTATGATACTTTTGATTTTTTTCCGAATTTGAAGTCTCTGGAATGTTAGTTTGAATTCACAAATCACTTATATATAATTAAGATTTTCAGACCTTCAAATATATGCTAATAGCTTTTTACTAGATATCGACTTTCCAAAATTGGAGAGACTGGATGCCCTAACTATTAATACTAATCCAGAAGCTTTCTGCGTGCCTATGAGCTTCCTGAGGAAGTTTATTCATAATGCTTCTTCACGCTTCGAAGTTCAACCTTGTGTAGATGGTCTGTTTCTTTACATCTTTTAACAGCTTTAAAACCGGGAAAAAAAACTTTCAGATGAAGGCTCGGGAGTGAAAACCTGCAGGTTCAACGGCAATTTGCTTGATTTAGAAGACAATTGCGAAAACATCATTGGAGTTTTAAAATTTGAAAATGTGACACTCACGGATCCAGAATTGAATAAGCTCAAGCATATGAAAACGCTTTATGGTTTTTTGAAGATTGTCAATACTTCAATTAAAGATTTAAGCTTTCTTTACAATTTAGAAGAAATCTATACAACAGTACGTAAGTTGAACATAATGAAAATTTTTATTTTGATATGACAGGAGACATTGACTGTAGAGACGGAGTGTGTTTTCAAGAAGAAGGCAGTCCTCTAGCCCTTATAGGAAATAATAATCTAACAGAATACATAGTTCCTAAGTTAAAGGTGATGATGCACAAAATATAAACATGAAAATCAATGTTATATGTATATAGTTTGTTTATGATGGACAGAGAAATGGAATACACTTAGATTACCCGAAAAGTTTGGATCCAGGAGTTTGTGATTTTTATAGAAAGATTCATCACGACGTTCGCAATGGTTATATGGATTGTCGTAAGCACCAGAAATTAAGAAATGAATAATTGATTGAATTTCAGAATACTAGCACATTCATGTATGTGTGAACAGTCTTCTACAGCAGGAAGACGGCGGCAAGTAATGTCACAAACATGAAAGAGTCTACAAATAAAATTTTTTTTATTCTGTATGTACTTTTCATAAAATAAAACTTACGAGTTGATGACGCTTTAGTTGATGTTTCGATGGGTTTTTTTGTTGGATTTGGGCCAGGTCCATTACTCGAAGCTCCTTGATACGTGTTCCAATGCAAAGTTATATTGGATTTGGAACTAGCAACGTATGTAACATAGTTGTAATCTGTAGTGAATGGCACGGTTTTCTTTGAAACCGAACCAATATCTGTTCCACTCACAACACCTCGAATTGCTTTAACATCAGATTCCTGAAACAATTATTCTGACTATTTTTGATTTCATAATCTCATTCTTACGGGATTACTGTCAATAGCGCTAACTGTAGCGCTCGTTCGACCATAATCCTTAACTTGAACCAGGTAATTGGATCCACCGCAATATGGATTTGAAGGGAAAGTAAGATCCGTCAAATAATTAGCATAAGCTCCAATTATCGTACATACTGGTTGCCAATCTTAACGAAAATTGAGATTTGTGATACAAATGTGTATACCTGCATTGGTTCCTACAACGACAATCACTTTTCCTTCTATCAGAGGAGATTGCACACATTGGAAATACGCTTTCTTGAATAAAGTGGGAGTACGGAAAACGGTGAACTCTCGCAAACTGAAAGGCGTGTGTATCCATCAAAGCTATAGAAAATTTTTACCTGTAACGGTCTAAATCTCCACTGTCATATCTTATGGTTAGGAAACAGTAATCCAAAGAGGTCTTTGCCTCTAGACTGCCTGGCTTTTCGTTGACAGATAAAACCGATAAACTAGTGTTCTGAAATGTCAGAGTTTCCTATTCAAGTGCTTGAATAGAGCTTTACCGCTGCGTCTTGTGCAGTGAAAAGACTGATGATACCAGCAAGAGTAGTCAAGTTACCTTGTCCGCTTGCAGAGAAATCTCTGTTGATAGCAGGTGCTATGGCTGAAATAGAGTCAGTTTGAACAGTCTCTCTGAGATAAACAAACGTAGTTTGACAAATGTAATGATGAAAGTGATGGTAGCTTCACCATCATTTCCTGAGTCAAACTCCAAAAACCCTCCGTTGGGGAAGTAATATGTTCCTGTCAATAGGTTTGTGCCATCACTGAAGAGAACATAGTAAGGAAACTCAAGATAGCCCTAATACTCACACAGTGAACGTTCTAGCAAACTCCTTTTTATAATATAAATTTAGGTAGAATGAGCTTGTCAGGAAACCACCCATCTGGACTTTGGTATAATACTCTTTACTTGGAGGAATGATCTGTGAGAAATGTTTCAGATATCATTCTAAAGAGTAACACTCACCTCAAAAGAGCAGTCGTACACTCCGTATAAAGTAACATAAGGAAACTTGAATACTCCGTTCTGATCCAAATCTGCTTGTGTGATAGTTCTTTTCCCGGAGCAAACTTCAATTGAATAATTTTTCAGATATTAGTTCAAAATTAAATTACTATTCAAATGAGAGACTGTCTCCAAAACTACGCTAGTTTTCGGTTTCATAAAATATGATGTAAAGAGATAATTTTTAGTTGGAATGACTGTATCAAGAGAAGCTGCTGTAATATTCCAACTTGGCTTCTTTTGAGGAGTACTGTCACTGACTTCAATATAATTTCCATCCTGAAACAAATACTTCCATGAATCATCTTATCATGAAAAAAACGAACAAGAAAGATCAAAGAGCGAATGTATGGAACGGACGGTTCTAGTGAAATGCTGGTTACCGTGAACTGTTGTATATCCGTATAAAATTGTGTACCAGGAATACCGGAAGCATAGATTCCATAACCGCGTTCAAGCGTATCTGAAGAATTCGATAACTCGGCTATCCTTGCTGAACATACTGCTTTTGGATTGAATCACGAGCATAAAATCGGAAGCGTTCGCTTTGTAACAGCTTAGTGTAATGGAAGAGTTTGAATTGAAAAAGCTTCCTAACGGATCACCAAATGTCATCTGCTTGGTTAAGCTGCAATAACTTATTAGCTAGAGTATCAGAAGTACTATCTACTTTGTTCTAATAACATTATCGGGTAATGAGTATATCTTACAGTTACCCAAAGATGGTGGATTGGGCACTATGATAGTTCTTACTTTTTGAATGATACCGACCGATATCTAAAAATAGTATTATTACAGACAAGTTAGGAGTGGTCTTACTCCTGTACTGCCATCATTACCATTAATGAATGTAATAGTGTCATCACTAAAGTCGGTGATTACTATACCAGGATCAGATTTATTGATTTGATAAGTAGCATTTGCTTGTTTAACTAAATGAATACAATAGACATAAGAAGTATCAACATGTTAACTTACCAACTTTAGGAGCCTGTCCTTCAAAGTACACAGTATGTGCAAATGAATTACTCACACTTAATACTAATAGCAAAAGAATGTAAGGAAGAGCCATGCTGTAAGTAATAAGAAAGCTTATAGCGTTAAGTAGTCAGAAGGCTTATAGCTTAACATAAGATACATATAATACAAAACAAAATAGAATTAGAAGATATCAATAACACAAAATAGTTTGCTGCTCTATTCGAATGTGCTCCATCAGACTTTTAAAAGATTCAGAAAAACTCAACGAGAAACGCCTTTTATCATTTTCATATTGGATTTACGACTGATTTTGATAACAGTATTTATATTATGACATCATTAGCTTTCATGATTCATGTACGCCCAATATGAGAATAGTTTTCTGCCAACCGCCCCTCTTATCCAATTTTCTGTGTATCCATGACACAAATAATTTATGTCTCCCACATCATTTTATGATCAATCACTTACATTTATGTGATAAACTCCATATTAACAATAAGAACTTTCCGGACATCCTTTAAGAGAAAGATCTTATTCTTTGCAACTTCCTACTCCCACAGACAAATCTCTATGATATTCTATTCATGTTAAATTAAAAGCTCGTTTTATGTGATGATCTGAGGGTGGATGAATCATTTTCAACCTTTTTTTCTTTACTATCACGCAATGATAACTTGAACAGTTTCATGGGCGAGGAGGAATAAGATGCAAGTTTGAACACTCATACTATCAACTGCAAACGTACAACCTCAAGACTTTGCTCAGATCCTGAACACGCCCAAATCATTATTCAGACGAATGCGATGAAAGGCAACTGCATTGCATTCATGCTAAGAAGGAAGTTCCGTATGCACGACCGGTAATTCATACAACTTTGCTTTCGGAATGAAAACAATTTTTTTTCATTTTTAATTTAATCCGACAGTGAGCGGTGAGCAACATGCTCACTCACGAGGATTTTTTTCGTAACAAAACTTAAATGATTCTCTCTATTCAAGCATATCTTCTGAAACTAGTACAGCTTCATTTATGTTTTACATGCCAGTCCAACAGAATACATCTTCTCATACTTCCACATAGTGCAGATCCCACATCAGTGATCCTTCGGCTTTTATCAATCTTTGTAATGTTTCTTCATTCATTAGAGAAAGAAGTAAATGTTTCGTAACTTTTTTTTAAAGATTGATAGAGATCAAATGAAGTATGAGTCGTCTTGTGAACCTATTGAACCAAGAATAGAATCAAAAATCATAATAGTTAGTTCCTTGTGTTAACTCACACCACTGAAACTGTTATCAAATGCGTTTTCAGATCAATGCCTACATTATAGCTTTCCGCTAGAACATATCTTCACGTATTTTTTTTTAGTGCATTTTCGCTCTTTTGATCTTATATGGTACACACTGCCAACATCAATATTTCAGTTTATTGCTCAAATAAGAATAAAAGATTTGAAGTGTTCTTCAGAGCCAAATGAGATAAAACATGAAAATGAATTGTAAAGTTGCTTTATGAGATGAAAAAAAAATTTGGAGAACGACACATCTAGTGAATAGTTCAAAGCATAACTACTAATTGGGAACATGTATGACACGAATGTGTTGACGTAAAGATCATTCGCTATGTAATTAGGATTTCCATGATTGAAATGTACAGTTAGATGAAGATGAACGTTCATCAAGAGGGAAGTAATTGAAAACAATGTTTAAAAGAAAACACAAAGATGAGCTCTTCATGTGCCCTGCAACTGCACATCCTTTCAATTGAACAGAAAAGTATCAATCAAAATCAATCACCCATAGCAGTAATATCAATGAGTAATATGAAGAATGAACGGTATGAGCATAAACAACTGTTCGGAACCCTTTGATTCAAAGTTATTCGAATTCTTCTTTAGAAACAGCCAGCTTCTTATATTTTCTCAAAGCTCATAATACCAAACAAGCTAACAAGTGTTATAACCTAACAAACCTTTAGGTGCGAGCACAACAATTTTATAATTAAAAATTTTCGTTTTTTATTTTACATGTTGATTTGCAAACCATATGATGGAGGAGAAAGATCGAAGTTTGAAACTTTCGTCTAAGTGTCTCCCTTGTCCAGATTGTGATATGCCCAACAACTGCTTCATATAAGATTTTAAAATATTATATTTCTCATCATACTTACTAAATGAGTGTTGTGCATTGAACTTTCGACATAAATTTAAATTTGTTGACTTCCGCACTAATTTCCATTTGTTGAGCTTCACCACATCTTCATCGAAGTAAATTGAATTGTCTTTTGTCAGTTTTGCGTCTTCTTCGCCATGAGAGATGCTATGAAGAACACAAAGATTAAACTTTCAGTAAAATTGAAAAGTATAATATTGTCTTTCGTTCATATTTCGTTCGTTCGTTTCTGGAATTCGTCTCACTCTCTCTCTTTCTCTTCTCATTCATCCTCATTCGTACAACGTTTTTGAACTTTTTTTTCAAAATGTTGTTGAAGTTGAAAAAACAATAGTTCGTTGCTACTTGATACTTCTCTCTATCTCATTCATTTTTCTTTTTTTCCTCTCTTTGTCACCTTTCCTCCATCTCACACCCCTAAAATCTTTTTTTTCCACTATCTCTCTTTATTACTTTCTTTCTTTCTTCTGACAATTTGTGCCTCCGAAAAGCTTCAACTTTTGTTCAAATAACCAACTTTCATTTCCTTCAAATGCAAATTTTTCTTGAGATTAGCCAACTAAAAACGGACGCTTAGTTCTATATCTTTGTCTTCTCTCCTCTCAGATTTCTCATTCACCACCAAACCTTTAGTGTGTTACTCCTTGTTCCTCTCTCTCTCTCTCCCTCTCTCTCTCTTATTCATGATATTATCCATCTATTACATCGTTTTCTGTCATTAATCCACAAATATCATGATATTATATTCACAAAAACTACTGAGCAAGCAACTTCATCATCTGTTCCCTTGAACCTTCTTCATTCTTCTATACATATCGTCATTTGCAATCTATTTCTCAATCATCGCAGACTAGTAGTCGTCAAACTTTTACGTGAAAGGACGGCAAATCATTTTGATTCTGTTGAACACGCAAAGCGGTTGGTTGCATTTCATTTTTCTCTTCTAACCCACCCCGCCCCTTCATCATTCTCTCTCTATTTCTCTCTTTCTCTCTCTGCCTTTTATTTTCTCTCGACAATCATTTTTATTTTTGGAAAATTCTCTCATGTTCTTCTTCTTCTTTCTTTTGCAATCTTTTCTTCGTCTACTGCTTCATCTTGTCCTTCCTATCCCTTTCTCGCTCAGAATTTCCGCCATGTTAGTAATGTTCGTCTGGCATTCTATCAAAGGAAACTCCTTGAGTGCGGTCTTCCATCATGATTTCTCTCTATATTCTTCTACCCATGAAAGAACTTCTCATTCATTTGTTGTCTTTATCATTCTATTATTTTCATCAGACTTTTTTATTTGTTGTCTGTTTAGAGTATCCCAAAAAAGACTATTCAGCCTTTAAAAACATTCCCAGCATATGATTGATGTGATGTGCCGATGTATGTCAAGCCAGTTAGGATATGAAAGAAGGAAAAAAACTTTTTTTTCCTCTCTATCTCTATATATTCCCCTCTCTCTTTCTCTCTCTTTCCCATTTTCACAGCTGAATATTCGAGCTGTTGCCTGAACACAATATTAAAATCCGGATTACTGCCATAGTTCTCCATTGAAAGCATTTCGCTCTCTGTATTTTGAGTCAAGTAATTGACTTTAAACTTAGATTTTCTTTGTTTTCAACCTTTTGCCATTTTCATTTGGAAAACATGCCCACAAAGAGAGAAGTAATTAGGAAGCTTAAGAAAATATCTTTTCATGATGATATTGAATTGCATCTTTCTCTTTGTCTTTTGCTTGCTTGAGTTAGTGAGAGAGAACGGAGAGGTCCAAGGTAAAAAGGCTTCCTTAGACTTTCTCTTATGTTCTCTTTTCTTAAAGCCTTTTGCTCTTCTTATCTTCAACAGGCTTTCCATCATTGAAAATTCAAAAAGAAAGAAGGAAAAAGAAAAAAGAAAACAGGCTTCTCTAACTTTCCTTAACTCGAGTAGTAACTATGTATGCTCCTATCGATTCCGCCATCTCAGAAGCAGCTTTTGCTATTCTTATGCTCTTCTCAGCTCATGTGTTACATTTTCTTCTTTTCTTCTTCTTTTTCTTATTTTCGCCTACTACGACAACCAGTACATCTTGCTGCTTCAAATTTGCTCTATGTCATGTCATTTTCTCATCTTTGTAAAGAGTTTGGTTGAAAAGATGACTACTATCTTGAGTTTCGTACAAATCAGAACTCAGTCACATGGATTTGCTATCTGAATATTTCTTCCTTTATATCTCAAAGAGAAAGAAGACAAGACGAGAAAGAGAGAGAGAGAAAGAGTGAGAAGATGGTAGAAAGATGAAGAGACATTAAGATAGAGAATGAGAAGAGAAGATGACACAATCGTCAAAGACATGAATGATACATGATGTATGAAAGAAAGATTAGGTGAGATATTCTCATTGATATTTCAACATTCAAAAATAACACAAACTCTTCTAACTTTCATTTAGCACTCACTTAATATGAACATATTAATAACCAATGTCGTAAACATGAAAAATTGTTTTTGTCTTTCGTGTGCCGATCGACCTGCCATCTAGTTGCCAAGGTAACAACCTGTTCCCTAACCCATGCTTTCATCATTCTTTCCTCTATTTTCCTTTTCACAATCTCTCTATCTCCGTCTTTCTCTCTCTTGCTCTCACTTTATTCCACCACATTCAATTTAGAGAGCTTCTGAGAAATAGTGTGTTGAAGACCTTTTTTGGTCGTCATCAACGAATATTCGTTTGATGTTCGAATCGATGTGAGGATGCTTAGCTGCTTTGATAATTTATGGTTCAGTTATGTCTTCCTAGAAGTTTTTATAAGAGTGGAAGCTCTTCTGGCTGTTTTTACTGATTTTCTTCATGTTTTTATAAACTATTTTCTCTTCTTCTCTATCCCTCTCTTTTTTGATCTTTTTCATTCTCTCTACCTCTGTGTCTCGTTTCTCGTTCATTTCTTTCACTCTGTATGTTTCACTCTCATACATCTCGCCATTCCTTTTTGCATTTACATTTCTCCTTCACTTTCCTCTGACTTGTTCACTTTGCTCTGTCTGCTTTTTCAAAAATTAAATTTAAGTTTTCAAATATATTTTTGCAAAGTTAATCAAGCATATTCTTTATAACCAATTGTCCAACAACTATATTTTAAGCAATAAAATGTATTTTCAACCTTTTTGATTTGAATCTTGTAGTTATTTGACCTTGTATTTTCTTTTTTGTTGTGTTGTATCGATGGTCTGTCTTGTCTATTTGCCACATCAACAGGCGGAGGATAAAATGGCATTGGCAACTGCCAGTAATGATTTCCTTTTTGAAAAAAAAAAGAAAAGAAAAAAAGAACTTTCACTTTCACTTTCTATTGCCTTCTTCTTTAATTTAATTAAAGGTAGACTTGCTGTTTCTCTCTATAATCTCATCCCCTTTCTCTCTCTTACTCTCTCTCTGCTTCTATCCATGGTCAATCGTTCACTACTATACTTTGCTCTTCTTAATCAACCGCAACTCATATTTCTATTTACATCCCATTATTTACAATCGCATATATTGGTTTTTTATTCAATTTTTTTTGTTTCCCAAATCACTTGTTTCTCCAACTATGATCTGTTGTTAGCCAGCTTTCTCTTCTTCATTCTCATTAGTCTTCTCCATTACTCTCTCTCTCTTTCACTCTTTATGTGGCCGTTACTCTCTACACTGTGTTTTGTTTCCCCCCCCCCCCCCTCTCTCTCAACTCTCTTTAAATTCTTTCATAAAAAGTGTCTTTGTCTACATTCGAACTACTTGTGAAAGTTCATTCCTTATTTCCATTTTTGACGAAGACGTTGTCGGGTTTCGACAACCTCAAAACAAAACAAAACAAACAAAAGAGGAAAAGAGAGAAGGCTTGCCATGTCCGTCTGTTACTGTTTACCTTCTATTTACTTTAGAAAGCAAATACTTTTGTGAATAAAGTTGTGAAGGCAAAAACATTGTCTTCATTGAATTCTTTATGAGCCATGTCACTCGCTGTATTAATTGAACGGAGAGCTGAATGAGAACTGTCTTAATGATATGTTGTAATTGCAGGATGAGGCTGTTAGTTGTATCTACAATTCTTCTTTCCGTTGTGGCCTGTGCTTCAGCCATCAAATGCTATGCCTGTAACTCGTTAATACAAAAGGATTGTACTGAAAAATTCGAAAAATACATCATGGTAAGACCTCTTTGCAGTAAAATGTTTTTTTCCTATTGTGCTTTCCTCGTTTCATGGCATACTTCATGAGAAAAAACATTTCAGAAATGTGTTCCTCGTAAATTCGGTGGCTCAACTACCTCCGTAGCTCCTATTGGATGTAGAAAGACTCTTCAATATGCCAGCGGTTAGTCTGTTTTTCAGTTTCAAAGTATCACCACATTTTAGTCAAAATAAATTTTTTTTATCATCTGTAACTGATTCATTTGTTTAGGTGAAAGTTCCGTCATCAGAGAATGCGCTTATTTCGGAGAAGCTGAAGAAAAGAACCAAAAGGTACGAAACGATTAATGCTGAATGAAGCACAATATGTTATTTTGCAGGGCTCATTGGGTGTTAGCCGTAAATTCCATCAATGTACAGAAGATCTCTGTAACTCTGCTACTTCTTTCAAGATTTTGTTAGTTCCAACCGTTCTCATTGCATTCTACAACATGTTATGATTGCAACATAGATGAAACAGGATCATAGTTCATTGAAATGAGAAATAGGCGAATTTCTTTTTTTTTCTTATTTTTTGCTTTTTTTTTTTTTGATTGAAAAACTCTATGCTAATTATATGATTCATATGATAATATATAGAAAATGTTGTGTAAAAACGATTATTCTTTACACTGCTTGAGAGCATATTGCTGTATAGGCGAGTGGTTCTTTCTTTTCATCGTCTTTTATGCTAATTAATTAGCCGAATATTTTGTATAATTTTAATAAAAATAGACATTTACTCTGAACAATAAGACATTTGTATGACACGAGAGACAAAAAAATTCATTTTTAGCTCATATGGATAGAGAGAGAATGAGACGGAGAGAATGACAACTACGCGTTGATGGAGCTGTTTGTTGCATACAGCTAGCTCATCCTAGTATTAGGATTTATTCAAATTTCTGTTGCATAGGGTTTCCGTTGACTACATCGTATGCAATAACGTATTATGAGATATGTTATAGCTATTACACACGATAATAATACACAGATGATGGCAAATCTATAATGAATGATCATATAAGCTCATCTCGTTCACAGTAACTTACAATAGCCATATTCGGACATGTGCGCAACATTTATTCTTTTCCGTCTCTGACACATCACAACATTTGTAATAAAAAAACATTGATTCTCGTGGACAACTGAAATATTTCACAATTAAATTAATGTTATGCTAATTAGCTACGTGAAAAGCATTATGACGTCATGGACCATTCACGTAAACTACTCTATTTCATTTTCTTTCTTTTTGTTTCGCATTAACCGGTTGCATTTAAATTGGACCAATAAAATCAAGAAAAAAAAACTTCAACCCTATTTAGTTTCTAAAAATAATACTTACAGAACATTGGGAGAGAATGCTTCGTGGGCTTCCTTACAATAACTCGCTGATCCACTGGTATTACCTTGTAAACTATTTATAACGGCAGCAGTAACCGAAGCTATTAGCTGTAACAGAAGAAAAAAGTTTTAAACAAAATGAAAAAAACATTTTAAACAAACTAAGAATGTTAGAACAGCACATAGTAATCTCACGGCTGACGGCATTACGCATAGTGTGTCCGTTTCATCTATCAAGTACTGCAACTTGGTTAAGGGCACAGTGCTGAGAAGAGGGCATCATTACCTGACCAGTCAATACACGGTTTCCACTTCTAACCGATCTGACTGATGGATCTCTCGACCAAATCACAACGGGTGGTTCCGTCTCGATGTGTTTCGGCATACAGATTCTGAAATCTTTTCGATTTACTTTCAGTTCATGATCGATGTCGAACGAGATGAACAGATATCAAAATGTCATTAAAATTGATAAGAAAACATTGTGTTTCAACCGTCGATAGCTCAGTTGGTAGAGCGGAGGACTGTAGTAGTGCTGATATCCTTAGGTCACTGGTTCGAATCCGGTTCGACGGAATGTTTTT